AAGCCCTGCCCAGTACCGAAGGGACAAGTGCCAGAGCTTCCCCTTGGACCCTGAGTTTGCCTTTTATGATAATACTACTTTTGGCTTAACGGAGGCAGAGCAGCAGATGATCGACCTCCCTGGGTATTTTGGCTCAAACGAAGAGGATGAAGCAAGTACTTTAAGCGTTGAGAAGCTGGTGATCTGAGTGACTCATTGCAGCCCTGCAGGAGGGGCGTGTGCGGGACAGGATCTGCAGAATCCGTTGGCTTCTGGTGGAAGGAGCAGCGGGAATCGTGTTCCCTCCACACGGAGCAGGAGGGAATAGTGCCCCAAGTCTGACTTGTGGGAACACATTCCTGTCTAATTCCTGGGAAGTGCTTCCATACGTTGTTTTTTGTATATATGTGTGTACAATACACATAAAATACCCTGGAAAAGCACGTATTAGTGAAGGTGTGATACAGGAATAGCCAATAGATTTTATTGTGTAAAGCAGTCACGTTTCATGCATCATACATGATGAATGCCACTGATGTAGCCTTTCTCACCTTGTGGACCGTGTACTAGTAGATTATGATGTCCTAAAGTATCCGATGTCCAATATCCTCAACTGTCTGTCCTAATTAGTGAGTCATTTCCCATTTAGAAAACACAAAGCTCAAGTTGTGAGCAGTTTTCATCGTTTTTCTGGTAGTCATTATTGAACTGTGTTGATTCGTCGTAGTTGCTCAAATAAGTCATATGGTGGCGTTTCTTTTAGCTGGTTGCATGAAAGGGCAAATGATGCTGAATACTTGGAGTGAATTTAAAATTGAAGGGGCATTTTCCATCATTCGAGACTTTGATATTTTCTTTCTGCTGATATTTATACCAACAAAACAGTAATGTACAAATATTTGCAGGAAATGCGTAGAAAAGGGCATGCTACTGGGAGGGCACAGAAAATGGATGATCAAATTTTAGTCCTCACAGAAATGTTACTGCAGCATTTAAGCACCTGTAAAAGGCATTGAGAGAACTGTTGAATCACCCATCCTTTCCCTAATCAAAAGTTATTAAACTTTTTTTTTTAATGTAAATTCACAATAATACTACCACAGCAAGCTCAAAATAAATTATGAACAAAACCAGCAAGCAACAAATTTATTTGATGAATATGTGTTTTGCGAACAAAAAGAAAAAATAAAATGGCTTGACAACGTCTGGTGGTTCCCAGAGAACCTTATGGTGAAGTACAAAAGTTAATGTTAGGTTTTTTTTGCTCGTGCTTTAAAACCAGAGATCACAAACTGGCGATTACACACTGCTGCAAGTATTCAGAGCTGGGTTGAAACCCCAGTTGACGACAGAGACAGGGCTCGAGCCAGCGAGAATGAGTCAGAGGCTTTGCTTGGCATTTGTTAGGATAACCGTCTCTTCAGGGAGTTTGCAAGGACCAGGGGAATGCTGTTGGGCAGCAACAAGAAAAGAGGAGATGCTGCCCGTGGAGGATGGAGTGAGAGAAGGTAGGTTCAGGCAGAGGACTGTCAGTCCTAAAACAACTGTCCCGTAAGGAGCCCAACCCTACATGCCCTTTAACCCGCCTTGCGGGTATGAAGGAGAAATTAGCGTGTTCTCAGTTCTCTGGCCATAGGCTGCTCTCCGTCTCAAAACTGGCTTTCTGAGCAGAAAGATAGATTTCCCAATCCCATGCCTTTGTTGTTTTGTTTTTTTTCTTGTCCAAACCAACAACAATTTTAAAGGGAGAGCAGCGTGGCTGTGCGTTAGCCAGTTACTGATGGCACCCCACTGAAGCATCCAGAGCGTGCACAGGTAACTTGACAGGCGCACAGCAGGAGGGTTTGCTGTGGCAGCCTAGGAACAGCCAGATGCTCAGCATTTGGCCACCAGAGTCAAACCTCGCCGTTTGAACAGCCTTTTTGATGGGTGATGTTTTGCAGCTGCTGCTGGAGTACCGGATCCGACTCGCAGGGTGATGTGAGCTCCCTCCTTCCCAGGAGCTGCACCAGCATGCCACATTGTTGACATTCAGCCCTTCGGCTCAGCGCGGCGTTTGTACCAGTTAAGCATTCGTATAAACTGTCAGCTTGAAATGCTGTTCAAAGCATTTGAGAACACGTCCCTGCTTGAGGACCGATCCAAGGCTAATCAAATGTAACGAGTCTTTAAATTGACTTAAATGAGCTGGAAATCAGACCTCCGAAGCAGTTGCTGCTCAGGTTACTCACCAGCCCTGTGCTAGAGTAAACTCCGCCGCGTGAAGCGCGTTCGCCCTGAAGCAGTGATCTGTCAGCTTTAGACCTACAGTGCTACAATATCAACTGCCAGCTTTGGTGAGCCTCTCAGCGCGGGAGACGCTGGAGAAATGGGAGATCAAATGTACAGCACAGCAACATTCAGCGAGCATTTCCCTAACCTTCAGTGGCAGTGATTTGAGCTTGGCGGTAGCCCCTCAGGTCAAATAAGTACTCTGCTAGTGGGATTTTACCCTGTTTATTAAGATAAAGAGGATTCTGGAACACTTCCGAGGGTTTGCGGTGGGGGTTGCAGGGTCCTGCACAAAGCCCTGCGACCTCTGCGGCTCCGAGGGGGTTCCCCATGTCTCAGCAGGGCAGAGGAGGGGAAACCTCACTCTAAGCCAGATGTTGCTTCCTGCAACCTCGTCTCTGTTGGGCTACATTCACAACAGCTACTGTAATGCGTTAGATGGACTTCCTTAAATACGCCTTACATCTAAGACAGCAAGTCAGACCCCTTCCCTCCCAGCTTGACAGGTCTTGCCCCCTTTTTCTTTCTCAGAGAGAGAAAAAGACGCTGTTAACTTACGGATACTGGCTGAAGGCAGTCCATCTATAATGCCTGCCTCTCTATATTGTCACAGGGCGAAACGGGCTCCGTACTCTGCATTTTACATCACTCACTGCTCACTGGGGAACTGGACTGGGTAGGAGTTGTCTGACTAAGCCCTGTTGACTTCATCTTCTGCTTGATACTCCATTATCAGGTGGGTTATCAGTTGCGTAATGAACTGTCAAACGAATAACGCTGGCCCTTTGGTGCTGTAGTTGATTTCCAGCATGCAGAGTTGAGCATCACTAGTCTGTAATCTTTACCCTGCTTCCCTCACCCTCTGCTGAAGAGTGGGATTGAGCATCATCTACCACAAGGCATGAACTTACTTCACTCACATTTCTCTGTGTCTTCTGCCTAGACAAAAATTGTCCTTACTGCCCTCAGCGCTGCATCAGTGGCCACATGGTTATAACGTGTGCACAGTGGTTCCTTATGTTCACAACGTGCAGTTACAACCTTGCACTGAGATTTACCGTAGTGATGTACAGAAATAGCAGCCAGAAAGGAAATAGTAAGTGCTGGGTGTTTGCAGCCCTTTCTTCACAAGGGCAGCCTCATTTCAGAGATGTAGGTGCAAGTTTTGTCCCATGTGGGTACATGCCAGCACTTGGGGAGAGGGCAGCGGTGCGGTCTTGGAGCACGGCTCCTGGGGTTGCTGGCCCATTGCGCTCCGGTGTTCACATCCGCAGTCATTGGGCTGTCTAGGAAGAAGTGATAACAGGGTTCCCTGGGATGTCTAGGAAGAAGTGAGAACAAGGTTCACCTGTCGGCAAAGCAGAGGAACCAAACCAATTTTACACTGAGTGTTCACATGTCTCTGCATTGTCTCCTGGACAACTTGAGCCATGGAAATTAAACTTACCTTGCAGACCCTCTAAACTACCCAGGACACCAGAGCCGACACCAAAAGAATGAAATTCTTGTACTATGAGCTTTCTCAAGATTTTCTTCCATATTTCTCAAGTTCTTAGTGTTGAAAACCAGATACAAAATGTTAAGTCCTACTCAGATGGTTTTATTTCACACTTTATGGATATATAATACAAACTACAGTATGTATGGATCTAAAAGCAAATAAATGGAAAAGAACTACCAGTTTAAAAGAATGATTGTAATTCAGAAAAAAAAAAATAGGCTCATTCTACAGCATGGTAGTTAAATGATTTGCATCAAGCTGATATTACTCTTCATTTTTAACTGTTGTTATTAACAACTTGTGGAAAATAAATTTTCAGTATTCCATTTCTTTCTGTCTTTTGTGTTGCTCTTTTGTTTCATTCCGATGAGACAATGAAAGCAGTGTGCCTTATGGTTCAGTCACTCTCCACTTTCTCATTCCCCTTCGCTAACTCAAAGTCATCTGGTAAATTACACGAGAACGTACAAATGAATCACGATTGTATTTTATGAACTCCTAAGAATATCTGTGCTCATCTTAAATTTAGTAAAATCTGCCTAATTTTAATCTGGGGCTGAAGTCTGGTCAGCAGCATTGTCTTTGTCTTTGTCTGCATTAATGTGTCGCAGTGTGCTATAGAGTTGGATCTGCGGAGGGAAGCAGTTGGCAATGAAGCCCACTGTCCATGTTGTGGGGGTTCACTTCAACATAGCCTTAGTCTGGATGCACGTTAGCTGTTGGAGCACGTCCATCCACTGGTTTGGTTTCACACACTCCAGGAGCGTTCTGCAGCTGAAGTGTGGCAATTGGGGACCATAGGGAGAGTTGCTTAAAAACATTCTCCTGATCTAGAACAAAGCAGTAACGACGGCACACCAGATGAAGTCCAATTCCCCATCACCTTGTTGTTTCTATTCTTACATTCTTAAAACTGAAGCACTGACGGTTAAAATAAAGATGAGAAGGATTTAGCCCTTGAAGAGTACAGATAGCTAAAACAACATGCTTGATCATTCAAGGTCCAGAGAGCTGAAAATATTGCTGAAAAAGAAAACTAGTTACTCCATGACTGAGATCCATATGTTTTCCATTAAATTGTTGCTGGCTGTGCCCAAACAACTTGCGACATTAGCTTCAGCTGGTAGAAACAGGTGCAACTCCAGTTATCGCAGTACAAGTTTGGTGACTGGCAGCAGCAGAGGGCTGGCTATTAACTTACACAATTCTTTTCAGCCTGTACTTTTTTTTCTTTCCAAAGTTGCAGGTTTCAGCTGCCCTGACTGTTCTCACCGTCTCCACTCTCACTGTCAACAAAGAACGGAGCCCTGATTTTCATGGTGGAGTATTTTAGCGAGTACCACATCCCATGCCACGTAGACCAAACTATGCCATTGTCATGGGATCCATTGTACCTTCCTGTTCTGTAGTATCGTCCATTGAGGTTTACGGCATGGCACCTTGTAACGAGAGACGAGTTTTAGTGTGGGAAGACATTGCATCATTACAGTGAATTACAATTTTCACACAACATACATTTAGAAATACCAGGGCGGGATTCACTGACAGGTCCAGACACTTAGATAGATCTGCCGGTAATGAACTGGTTATCTAAAGTCCTACTATAGCCTATGGAGATCTGGTTAATTCATTTAGTGGAACCCAGAGAAGTATGAGGGTCATCCTAAAGTAGATGCCTACACTGGTCAGATAATTCAACCTTTTGCCTACTTCAAGTGTATTAACTAGGAATATGATTCAGTTGCCTAAACGGAGGGTTGTAGTGCCATTTGGTAGGCTCTAGCTCAAGTGTAGGCAGCTACATACTGACGCCTAAAAATGCAAATGTCTTTTAATCAAGATGAATCCCACTATTGATGTACATTTTGGTAGCTCCACTGATTTCAATTTGTATGTGATGAGGGACTGGTCAAAGAAGAGGCTCATCCTGCACTAAAGCAGAAAAAAACTGAGAGCGGTGAGTCCATGCTCCCAGGGCTGGTGAACCCTAAATCTGTTGATGTGTGGGGATATGCCCAACTAGCAAACATACCATCAGGTCTTTTAAGGGGCAGCTCACCCCCTAGACATGCCCCATGATAGAGAAATGTCCTTTGTACACACTTCACCTTGCAGTGGGTATGATTCTTTTCCTTCCTGGGATATAACCCGAAACACTTTAAGGAATTTTAATTGGACTTACTTCCAGGTAATTTCCCCCTTATGCATTTATTCTGACCCATTTTCTTAAAATGAATGCAACTTACCTGTGGCTCAGTTTCTTAAAACAAATGCAACTTACCTGCTTTGCTCCATAATGAAAGCAGCAGATTGCTTTCCTTTGAGGGTCTGTAAGTGTGAACATAGATCTGGCTGTGCGAGGTGGCATGTGCACACAGCAGCCTCCGGCTGTTGTGTGGCAGGCAAGTCCGCTCGGCTGTACAGCCACCCGCACCCTATGCATCCGAGGGGAATCAACTGTTTTCCATACCTGTTAAACCACCAGCCGCCCTTGTTCTCTAATGCACAGTTGCCTGCCAGGAATCGATCGTGATCCTTGTCGGATGTGCTGAACTGCATCCCTCTGTGAGAGGCTGACCACTGATCTTCAAAATTGCTCCCACCAGACAGAGCGTCGCCAGCGTTACCAGAATAGGTGCCAAACCATAACCTGTAATTGTCCTGCAAGAATATGTAAAACATGGCTTTGATACCAGCTCTTTCTGCCCTTCCTCCCATTTTTGAGACCAAATTTTCTCTGGCTATTGTATCCACTGCCAAAGGCATGACTGTTGAAGTCACGGGTGGCTTTTTGCCCCGTGCTTTAATGATCCTAGTGTAGAACACTGCAGAATTTAAACTTCCAGAAGGGATTGCTAATTGTTGCTGCTGCTACAAAGGGCTTCAGGTTTTATTGTCATTCCAACAACCATTTGATAAACTATACAAGACTCTGGAAGGCTCCTCCTGGCTTATCAGGAACAACTTGGCAGGAAACTGTGCCAAGTAGTTGCCTTCATAAACTCATCAGTTGTTCAGCTAGAACAACTCCTGTAGGAATATTGCTCCTGCAAGAGTTAAAAGCCGTTTCATTTCTAGCTAAAATGTCCTTGTCCTGGTAGGAATACTTAGAATAACAATTCCATTGCGCACAGCTAATAGAACTAAGAGACATTTGATATGAGATGTGTGATTACTTTTGCTGGTGCGTGCTTTTTTCTGTCATCATATTCCACCTTTATGAAAAAATAGAAGTAAGGCTTTAAATCGAGATGTTCAAACTTTTAATAAGAAGGCTTTAATTGCAAACTGAATGTAATGCATACATTTTTGGAGCAGTGATGGAGTTGGAACTAGGACTGGTCCATGCAATGGGACTTAAGTCGTTGGGTATTCGGGCTACTTACAAGTGTTGTTCAGAGAGGGAAGCCTGCAGAGAACAGGACCTGCATTGAGCAGGATGCCGTCTAAAGCTAGAACGCAAACACAAATATACAGGGGGTCTTTGTCCTTGGGCTTTCACCACTAAGTGTAGTGCTACAGGTACTTCTCTTCAAGACAGCAACTTACAACTGCTCTTTCAAAGCTTTGATTCAAGAGTTCGCTGCTTAAAACTGTAGAGAGGTTTGTTACAGTAGTTGTGTTTTATGTGACAGCCTGAAACAGCCTCCTAGGAAATAGGAGAACAGGGTTCAGTTTCCTTGCAGAGGTTCAAACCCTTATCTCGTCCCTCATGGAAGACTCTTTTAACCATGAGACTGGAGGCAAATGCACATGGGGAACCCCTTTGCCCTGCAGCAGAGAGCTGCCCTCTGTGCAGCAGCAGAGTTAGCAAGAGAGCACATGTGATCCCCATGAGACTGGAGGCAAATGCACATGGGAACCAGCAGCAGAATTTGCAAGAGAGCACATGTGATCCTGTCACCTGGTGGCTTGGGCACTCAGCGGTTGTGAGGAAGAAGTCGCAGGCTCACATCCCTCCTCCCAGGGCTGTTTCGCAGTCAGCCAAACCAGGAATCCCAGCGAACCAGAGCAGGTGAGTTTTGCAGAGCTGTAATCACAACCCTGGTACTGAAGTCTGAGGCTGCAGATGCAGATGCTCCACCCTCACAGATAAAACAAGCAAATCTCCACTTTCTCCATTTCTTACCTGCTCATTCGCAAGCTGGAAATTTTCATATACTGCGTAACGTCTTTCTCCATCCCAGTCCATCAGGTCAATCTTTAATGAGCTCTCTCCTAAACAAAAAGCAGTGTCCCGTTAAATGAACTATCTCATGCAAATTGGAAAGAAATCTGTGGAGGGAAAATATTTGCACCTCTAGCGAGCAGGTCATAGATGTGGTCGTTGCCCAGCCAGTATTCATCATTCTTGCCCTGGAATTTCCCAAATCCCAGTTTGTAATCATCCCATTTCCTGCAGTGAGATACAAATATCGGTTTCAGCATGTAAGGGAATTAGACAGTTTGTGGCACTTAGCTATGGTAACAAGTGAAACTTCAGCTGTATCTCTAGACATTGTTTTCTAAAAGTATCTGATTCATTGCAAGCTGAGCTGAGATTTGTCACTCTGACTTAGAAGTAAATACAACTCACAGCTGACTTCTTCGCCTGCTAAACATGTGCGCACACATGTATCGGGACCAAACCTTCAAACTGCCAGATGCAGTGCTCACAGAATGAGGTTGTCAGTAAGACGGAAAGGGAAAGGAGCAGCCATCATATTGGTCTTCAGCAAAGCATCTCATATTCTTCTTCCGCAAGTCATAATTCAAATGCACTCCCGGCTGGAAATTAATGTTGCAGTCTAAAACATGCTACAATCTTGGATGCATGATGTGGTATGGTGAAGAACCAGAAACTGAATAGAAGCTGCAAACAAACACGTCCGGATGAAATTAAAAGGAAAATATCTGGGTCTGCTTTGTCCTCCTGCTCCATTTAAATCTATTTTTGATTAATTGACCGCTCTCACCTCTATTTTTTTGCAGGATCACTGTTTGGATGTGGCAACTTGTCCTTCAAAGACATGTACTCACTTTTCATCAGCATTCTCTGGCTTCATCTTTCTCAGAGAAATCTCCTGCTGTTACTTTCTTCTCATCATTTCATTCTCTTAAAATCTCCTCTGTTATTTATGTATTATCTTTGATATTCACATATACTTCCTGTGCATCATCACTTCCAGTTTTACTAACCCCGTGTTTATTCTCTCTCTCATGTTGTTAGGGATATTAATTCTGCCTGACCTACATACTAGTCAACGCTCCTCTTCAGCAAGTTTTTCATTCACCTGTGCTGAGAGCTGAACTACCATGGTGAGGTAGCTACCACTCTCCGGGCATGCCAGCTTAGAGCCAGTTGAGGTAGCTTTGCAGTGGACTGCAGTAACTGTAAGAGACACTAGACATGACCTAAAAGTGTGCGTGCTGTGAGAGTGAATCAATCTGTATAGGGACATTTCTTCTTTACTGTGCTACCAAAGCGTCTCTCCTCCTGGAGATTTCTAGGTGAAAGTCACCTGTCTGGGATTTTGCATAGATAACGGACAATCTGGACCAGTGGTTTGGCATCTTTTTGAATGATCTGAATAAGGAAATAAACGTTACACCACGCTGAACATAATTCTTGGTATGAGGACAGAAAATACGTTCAATGTGTCTCAGTTTGTGTGCTGGCAGCAGATACCTGCCAATTTTGAGTCTTCAACAGTCTCAAATAATGATAAAACAAATACCCACACACTTACACGCTTACTGAAATGCAGAGAAACCATGGAAAAGGTGTTATAGGTCCATTTTGAAAACGGCCTCCTGCTACCAATATGCACCACCAGATTGCCCTGATGCAAAGAATTATCATCACTAAAATATAGTCTTGCATATCCTGCTTCTCAAGTTCTGGGTCTTGCCAGGCCGCAGGACAGGGGGTGGGAGCTGGAGGCCTGACTTAAAGCCCTGTTGGTGCAACCATGACACACCCACCTGTTGAAATTCTCCTTGCCATTACTCCGCCGCTGAATGACGGTCCACCCTCCGCCATCAGACATGTCACAGTATGCCAGGAAAGGCTCTCGGTCTGCTCTGGGCCTGATCCGGTAGTAGCCATTTTTGGTCTTCCTCCGATTGTACACCGCGGAGCAATCTAGGCAGAATGGTATTGGTTTGTTAAATGGGAGGGAAAGCAAAGGGATACGTGCAGCCAAGAGAAGACATTGCTGAGAGGCTGTATGGGACAAGGACACTGGGCCAGCCTGTATATAGCTCTGCAAGTCCTGCAAAGCCAAAGCAAACAGTTCAGTAAGGTAGCAGCAATGCTGGTTTGCAAACTGCTGGGCCTGATGGAGAGCAGCAAGGCTTGAGAGCCTTTACAGCCATGCCCTCTGAGGGAACCACTGCTAAATCTTTAGTGAGATACAGGACAGCTGTAACCAGACTGCTGGGTTATAGCACAGGAGAGACACAGGACCAGGACTGGTTCTGTCAGCAAGATCTTTCACAGGGAAGTTAATTTCCATGTGGAAGGTAACCTCAGCTGTACTTCAGACTGGATTGGGGCCCAAAATTTCTAGAATAAGAGGCTAAGCTCCTGTGGCCAGCTCTACCGGGGCTGTATGAGGAGAGTGCCTTTCAGGACATCAGTGTTTCACACTTTCAATATAATGCCCACAAAGGTTAAAATCTTGGCCACGGGCCACAATTCCAGTTATGACAGTGTTCTCAAAGCGACACCAAAGAACACAGCATGCACCACAGAAATGATGGAGGAGCCAAGGAGCAGGGAGGCTGAGCTCCCCCAGACAGATTTCAATGCCTGCAGCTGGGCCAGGCACTCTGGGCTCCCATAAACCACTCAGGGGAAAAGGGCTCTTCAAGAGCAAGACCCATATCTTCCTGAAGCAGATGTCTAAAGCAGGTCTGATGAGCAGCTTGAGAGGTGCCTGTTCTCTGGGACCAGAGTCCCAGGTGAGAAGCCCAGCTGCAGGCGTCTGCATTCTACCTGAGTGGCAGCTGCCTAAAGCTGGTAAACTGACTCCAGCCCCGGGGAATGTCTGCTGGTACCAGGGCCACCAGTCTGCCATTCTCTTTCCTATGTATCTGATTGCATTTTAAAACACAATCCACTTTAAACATTCTAAAACTTTTAGCAGAAATAAAGTACATCACATGGGACACTGCAGGGAGAAATAAACATTTTGGCAAGCTGAAATTTCCACACACGCTACTGCAAACTGTACCTTGATCATAGACTATCAAATTTCCACTGGTTGTGGGTAAAAGCGTCTCATGCTGCACGCTCCTGTTGCCTGAGAACAGCCCACTTTTTGTTCTATGGTAAGTGTTCTCCAGGATGTCCTTCAGTTGCAGTTCATATAAGTAAAGCAAGTCTTGAAGCTGTTTTAACCTTTGTCTTAATTTATTGTTGTCTAGAAGGCAGATATCGTTTTCCTATGGAGAAAATAAAACAAAAAATGCACAACCCCATGCTTCAGTCAGTGGTAAGAACAGAGAGGCAGGGAGAGAAGGAGTATCCGCCTCTTCTTGATACTAACATATCACACTGCCTCTGCAGATCAAGACGATTTGGTGGTTGTCTGTTCCTAAGATACACGAATCTTGCATAGCATGGGTTATTGAGTTGAACCCAGTGGAAAAGGGTTTTCTATAATGACCTTGCCACTGCTCAGAGCATCCCAGAATATGGTCAGATATGCAGAACATGACTTTGGACAAAAATCATTCATCTTGACTCCCATTTAATGAACACAAAGGGGGCACATGCAGGCTATGAAACTGCTCAGTAATATGGTCAGATATGCAGAACATGACTGGACAAAAATCATTCATCTTGACTCCTATTTAATGAACTCAAAGGGAGCACATGCAGGGTATGAAACTGCTCAGCGTAGTAAGAGGGGGAAAAAACAGCTCTTGCACTGCAGCCAGGCCAAAACAGCAAGGTTCCATAAACATCTCCTTGTAAAACTGGATGATAAAAGAGCTGATATTTGATGCAAATCAGCGGAAAGATGAGCCCACTAGGGCTACAAATATGATTAGGGGATTGGAGCATCTTTCTTATGAGGAAAGGCTGAGGGATTTGGGTCTTTTTAGTCTAGAGAAAAGAAGACTGAGGGGGGATCTG